CTCAATAGTTTTGGTCAACATAGCTGCAATGCAAAGACATTGACATCATGGAAGAGTCCACTAATCAAGGAGGGTTTGCGCAGTTACGTCTAGACGTATCTGACAGGCATCGCATTGGGCTTAACCTCAGGTCGCTACGTTAGCGGTGTGGTTGATAACAATTCACCTCTGTCCAATCTGAGGTCAATTAAAAGACAAGCGGCTTAGACTAAGCGCTATCACATTTCGTTTTCACCGTATGTATACTAGTATTCAACTGCTGTGGGGATTGTACATGTTACAATAGCGGGGTAGAACTTGTGCTACAAACCCACAAACTTACTTATAAGGTTTACGACAAATTCAGGGTCGATCGTCTTCATGAAATGCTTCTCAATACGTTTTCACAAACATAATTTGCAGGGTGTTATACTGTACGGATTTTCCTCTAGACGTTCTGCTGCTTATGTACAAAGTTGAATAGTTGCAGCTGTTTGTCCTTGAGCGCTATCTGATCGCTGTTCAAGGCCGTGTTGTTGGGGATGATACAATAACGCTAGCAGGGGAGAACTGTGTTCCTGTAGAAAGGCTGGGATTTCCCGACAATAAGACTATAATAGTTTTTAAACTGGTTGTGATAACAGCCAGGAGGAGACTCCCTCCCCCTGGACACAGCTAATTTAGGGGGTTTAAAATTGATACAATCACATTATCGATTTTTAGGCAACCAGAGGGATAGAAACCATGGTTAGAAACCAATCAAAATGTGCATATTAATAATTTTCTTTCTTCAGAAGTTTTTTTCTTCTTCTTTTTTTAAATTCAGAAAACAGTATTTTCTTGAATGTGTAGTCCTAAAGATGGGACCACTTATTTAGAGAAGTGGAATTTTGTTTTGGGGTGTGTTTTTTCTTTTGATAAGGGACTTGTTTACAAGGTGAGTGGTGATTAGAAAAAGGATGAGAAGGAACCCTGCAAAAGGTAAAGCACTAAAAGTGAACTTCTGTGTTAGGAATCTTTCGAATTTAGCGTAGAGCGTAGAGAGGCTTCTTGAATTCAGCACAATACGTAGCCGGCTCTCAGAATTTAGCGTTGTCGGGACCCCCCTTGCAGGGCCCCTTGAAAGGGCTCACACAGCACATTTTCTGTATCTCTTCGTATTCCCGTCTTAAACAGTGAAAACGCAGTGCCACCGAATCTGTTCTGTTCTCCGTGACCTCATTTCCCTTTCCTCAGACCAAAGTTGGCAGTCTGAGCAATTTCAAGGACACACAGCTCAGGCGGCAGCGTACCGATACTCCCTCAGGTAAACAGGAGTATGTGGCCTTGAAGCTGTGGCCTTGGTATGGCCAAATCAATGTACTGCCTTACATCTGTGTGCTTGCTATAGAAATAAAAAAAACTCTTGATTTATGTTTTTTTGATTGGATTCCAGCGAAAATAGTTACGTATTTTAAGGTGTAAGTCTATGGGACAGCGAAATTGGCGTATGAGACCTTAAATACTAGTAGCCGATTTAGCTTAATACACTACATTGCGAACCTGTCTATATTAGCAACCGCTAATATTTCTATCTAGTAATACTAATGTTAGTATTGCAAAGGAGTATTGAAAAGGGATGCGGTGTGCGATGGTACAAATTCTACAATCCGGAGTCTTGCCAAGAATTGGCATGCCAGAATTATCAGTATGATGATCGTGGGCATTAAAGGAAAGGCAAGACAAGACAATAATATATATATGTAGCTAGTGCCTGCATGTACGTTAATTAGGTCATGTTGTAGTTAATCAGCTTAAGCTTCATTTCTAGCGAAGTGCAATCATGCAGTTGGCTTCAATAGAGTGTATGATATTAGATTAGCCATTACTCTTGTAAAGAGAATTAACCTATCCTTCATTGATTTTAACATGATGGACGCCCGGAGCCCCATGCAGTCATCTGTAGTCTAATGCCTAAAGCAGATTTGGGCCCCATTCCCACTAGGACAAAATTGTCCGGATCGCGAGCCGAATTGATTCGCTCTGATCCGGCTTCGAGCTGACTTGGAGCCGGATCGAATCAACTCGGCTTGATCCGGACAATTTTATCCAAGAGGGAATGGGACCGTAGTCAATATGTTCCTCTAGATGCCCAGATACCAGTGTTAGTGAAGTATGACGTGAGGATATAGAAATATAATTTTTAGACTCAATGTCGTTTTGTTTGAATTAAATAACAACTTTCTGAACATGGTATAAACATTTACACAGTACCTCTACTTCTCTGGGATCGCAAGAACATAACTTAAGCAAACTATATATATCTTGTGTTTGTGTCAGGCTTACGAACAGCTAGCCCCACGCTGCTAAAATATGATTACCAACATGCTTCTTCTGTCGTTCCATCCGACGGATAATGAATGAATGAAAGACCTTTATTGTACGCTTGTGCTCTAACGAGCTAAGTACAGGTCATGGGTAAACAGGGAAAAGAAAACAGTAATGACACTTACATACTATATAAACTAATGCGATCTACTATTTACAGGTTCAGCTTCTTCTCGCTTCTTGACGCAGTTATAGATGTACGAACATATTGAGCTAATGATACATGGTTTGTCAAGTTTCATGAGGAATTCGAATTTTTCTATTCTATCTAAATGTCTAAAGCTTGGGAACTTATCTATTACATAAGTATAGAGGGAATCCCTCTCGTTTCTATATAATGTGCAGTCAACTACAAAATGGCATTCATCTTCAATACAATCTAGATTACAAATAATAACTAACGTTGCAGTTATTAAGTAAGAATTCGAAAGCTAAAAGAAATTTTGGTATTCAGTGTTGCGGCCCTGTCTCTCTGGAAAAGGAGATTTGGTAATTTCACATCTGTAATCAGTAATTGGAGATATTGTAATGGCATCCGCATGCAGTTACCTTACAATGAAGAAAGATAGCCCATTTTACTACCCGGACATTATAGTGTCTCATTGTCAAGGTCTAGTAAACTATCGGACGCACCCTCCCCGGCGGGTCAGCAGTTGTATGCTAATCCCATGTTCCCGCGGATTGATTAAGTGCGATGTCTGCGTGCAAAGCAGCCGTGATACGTCTAGCCGCGCCGTTGAATAAAAATCCAATGAAGCCAATGCCAATGTCAGGATAACCTTGGCGGCGATAGTCGCGGGTTTCACTTCACACGTAATATGCCGGGTTTATGTGACATTTGGTGGATGCAATTCTCCCTCAAAGACTGTCTACCTACTCATTTGAAAATCGAAAATTTGGTCACAAATATCGAGGGCGAAGGTGCGCCATGCATGACGAATCTACACCAAGTGAAAACGACAACTTCAAACTTTTAAAAAGTTTTCGGGCAAAGGTCATATCAGGGCAATTATGGCCGGTCCATTGTGCACCGAAGCTAAGTGTTACTGGTTCACAGTTACTTTTTGTTTGGAACCGCATAAGTTAGCAGTAACACCAAGCTGCAGTGCTCTGTGGAACCAGTATCGTATACGTAGAGATCTCCACTCTACGAAAGTTCTATGAAAATCCAACGTGCGGTGTTTCTAACGCATTTTGCACGCTCGACAACTTGTGCTTAAATTTTCCCATTGCGCTAGAAAAGGAACCCATTCCCAGGTGTTAGAGCCATATAT